TCTCATACAGTAAATACATTTGAGATCCACCTACATTTGTGGTATGTATCAGGAGCCCTGTCTTGTTAACTGCTGAATACTTACTGTATGATAGGACCATGCTTGTGTATGCATTCATCATCGGAAGATCAGAACAGCTAGCTGTTTCTAGGCTGTGGTGCTCATGATCAGAGCTCCTACAAACATCCACGGACAAGTCTTGGTGTGAATGTTGTGTTTTCCTTTCTTTGGGGTAAGTGCATCAGGAGTGGAGTTGCTAGGTCCTATGGTGTATGGCAAACTAATGGGGAACTGCTACCCTACTTTCTAGAATGAACATATGCTCTCACCCACATCTGAGGGTTTCAGTTGCTACCATTCTCCCTAGCACTCGGTGTTACCAGTTTCTGATTTGTGTTAGCTATTCTAATAGGTGTGCAACACAACCTGGTTTAGTTTGTGTCTCCTTAGTGGATAATTATTTATTTTTCGTGTGCTAGTTTTGATCTGCATGTCCTCTTTGCCCAAGCATTTTATATATTTTATGGTTGGGTTGTCTGTTTTCTTTTTTTTTTTTTTTTTTTTTTTGGTTTTTCGAGACAGGGTTTCTCTGTGTAGCTTTGCGCCTTTCCTGGAACTCACTTGGTAGCCCAGGCTGGCCTCGAACTCACAGAGATCCGCCTGCCTCTGCCTCCCGAGTGCTGGGATTAAAGGCGTGCGCCACCACCGCCCGGCGGGTTGTCTGTTTTCTTATGGGTGGGTTTTTGAGAGTTATAAAAGTCCTGGATACAGAATATTTGTCAGATGTGTGGTTTGAGTATATCTTCTTCCAGCTTGTAACTTACCTTTTCATCATGTTAACAATGCCTTTTACAGAACAAGTCCAAGATTCAGATGAAGCCAACTCTTCCTTAAGGACCCTACATTTGGTCATGTCTAATAAACTTTTGTTTAACCCAAGTTGCGAAGGTTTTTCTCTTGTGCTTTCTTCCAAACGTTTATATTTAGATTTCTGATCCTTTTTAGAAATAAGCTGTGAATTAGTGAAAAACAGAGCCCATGAATTTGAAGGAGAGTGGGGAGGGGTACATGGAAGGGTTTAGAGGGAGAAAAGGGAAGGAAGAGATGTAACTAAACTGTAGTCTCAAAACCAACCAACCAAACAAAAATCCCCAAAAAAGAAACAAATAAACCCAAAACAAACCTTTCTTCTTAAAGAAAAAATTCCATAAGGAATAGGATAAGATTTACTTCTCTTCACACTGAGACATCAGGTTGTTTCGGCACAACTTGTTGAAGTAGAGCCTTGCTTTAGGGACTCTGTGATAATAACCAGTCATCTCTCTGGGTGCTTTGATTTCTAGTCCCACCATTCTTTTGTATTGACCCACGTCCCAGTTATGTCCCAGGATCCCCTGGTATCAGTACTGAAGTCTCAAGTGAGCCCTCAACAGGTGATATGAACCTTGCAACTTCACTTTTCATGGCTAGATGGTCTTGACTATTATGCTTTTGCGTTCCACACAATTAGCACATAATTAGCTTGTTTTATCTGTGAAAATTCCTGCCGAGCTCATTTGGGTGGAATTATACTAAAATATAGAACCATTTGAGGGGGAACAACAATAGCTTTATTTATTGAATCTTTGAATTCTGAGTCTGAGCTCTTCAGTGAGTTTTTGGATTTGCACATGTGTTTTTCAGTTCTAAGATCTCTGTGTTGTGATGCCTTCTGTTCCTTTTGGTCTGAGATTTCCATCTTTTGACCTGAGTGGTTTCGTTTGTTTGTTTTTTTTTTTTTTCAAGACAGGGTTTCTCTGTGTAGCTTTGCACCTTTCCTGGAACTCGCTTTGTAGACCAGGCTGGCCTCGAACTCACAGAAATCTGCCTGCCTCTGCCTCCCGAGTGCTGGGATTAAAGGCGTGCGCCACCACCGCCGGCAGATCTGAGTGGGCCTTTACTTCTGAAGCAGCTTTATAAGGACTACTTTAAGGTCTTTGCATTTCCATTATCAGTGATACCTTCACATCGGCATCTCTTGATTGTTTGCCCATGTGAGTTGGTTTTTGTTTTTTTTCTTGTGCTAAATAATTCTGGATTGGCATCCTGAACATTTAAAATATCACATTAGGAGATTTTCAGGTCTCCTGTAAATTCTACGGAGAATGTGGATGTTTTGGTTTCAGCAGGCAGATGACCCCATTGGGAGCAGGCAGTGAGTTCTAATCAACCTCCCGTGGGCTGATCTTTCAATGCTTGTTGGATTTTTAGTCTTTGCTGTTCATGTTGCAGGGCTGTTGGAACCTGGGGCCTTGTGCATGCTAAGGCAAGCACTCCACCACAGAGCCACATCCCAGTGTCTGTGCTAACCAGATGTGTGTCACTGGGTGGCCGGTCTGGCAGCTGGGCCACTCCTCATCTGCAGTTTCAGCTCTTAGTCTTTGGTCTTTTGTTGAGGGTCTGATCCACACACGTGAATCTCAGGACTGAGCTTGGCATTTAAAGGCAACTTTGTAGGATCCGTTTTCTGGACTTTTTTCTATTTGTGACCATCCAGGAACTTTTCAGGTTCCTGGTACTTGTCGTTTTGGTCCCCAGAAAGATGTGACCACATATCCTTTGACTTGATCTTACATCTGAAGCTGAACGACAAAAGGGAAAAGATAGACATCAAAGCTATGGGGTCCCTTACTCCTTTTGGAACTGTATGGTTCCTCCGATTGGAAGTGGGAGTTTCATAAGAATGCCCACTGTCAGCTCCTCATGTCCCAAGATCATAGCAACACCTGAGAGTTGGAGTGCCAGGGAATTATTAAATGGCTAACAGGAGCCAGAAGTGGAGAGGAGTGGAGAAATTTCTCATGTTTTTTGAGCAACCTACCTTCTTTCTTTTTTAAAAAAAAACCTTTTTAGAGCTTTATTGAGAGAGGGAGAGAGAGAGAAAGAGAGAGAGGACCCTTTCTTTTTTGATGTGTGTGTGTACATGTGTGTGTGTGTGTATGTGTGCGTATGTGTGTGTGTGTATGTGTATGTATGTGTGTGTGTGTTGCATGTCACATGAATGTGCTGCTATGTGCACTGTTGTGGAATATTATTTTAAGATGTGTTACATTTGTTTATGCTCTGAAACATTTATTTAATGATGCAAAGATGTGTTGCATTCTTTTATGTTGCATTTGTTTAACTCTGTGAAGCTGTGTTACTGTGCCTGTCTAAAACACTTGATGGTCTGATAAAGAGCTGAACAGCCGATAGTGAAGCAGGAGGAAGGATAGGTGGGGCTGGCAGGCAGAGAGAATATATAGAAGGGGAGATCTGGGAGAAGAAGGAGAAGGAGCAAGAGAAAAGAAGGAGGAGGACGTCAGGGGCCAGCTACACAGCCAGCCACGGAGTAAGAAGGAAAGATAAGGTATACAGAAATAGAGAAAGGTAAAAGCCCAGAGGCAAAAGATAAAGATAAGTTGGCTAGAAGTAAGCCAAGCTAAGTTCAGGCATTTATAATTAAGAATAAGCCTCTGTGTGTGTGATTTCTTTGGGAGCTTGGTGGTGGGCCCCTAAAAGAGCAAAAACAACCAACAGCAGTGCACCTGTGAGTGTCCATGCAGAGGCCAGAGCAGGATGTGGGGGGGGGGGGGGGGGGTGAATGTTATCACTCTTCGCCTTGTTGCCTTGAGGCAGGATCTCAATAAAACAGAAGCTCACCACTTCTACTAGGATGGGGAGCTGCCTGTCTCTTCTCTTCACGTCTGGGGTTATGGCCATGTGCAGCCGTGCCCAGAGTTTTATGTGAGTGCTGGAGATTTGAACTCAGGTTCTCACGCTTGTGCTCTTACCCACTGAGCCAGCTCCCTATCCCTGGAGCTTTCTTTCTTGGTTTTTCATGAAGAGCTAGATGGCTCCTCCTTTGTTTCTTTCTGTCTACACCTGGCATTTGGTTTTTGGTTTCTGATATTCTGGACCGGGGAATATTAGAGGAAACCTGGAGCCTGCTGTGAGTTCTGGTTCAATCCCCAGTTTCTACTTCTTACTTTCTAGAGACCCCAGAAAGTCTTATGTATACAGCCTGGATTTCATATGCATGCTGGCCAAGTAGCACAGGATACAGAGGGCTTAGTTCATCTTCCCAAGGACCAGGATCCTTTCTTATTTTTGACAATATAAATGGAAATATCTTGCATTTTTTTGCCATATTGATTCTTTTCTGCCAGGTATGACTTTTTGACAAACTATACAAATGATCATTGAAAATATAGTCTTTGCTAGGCATGACTTTGTAATTGGCCACCTCTGATTTGGCCCTCATTATGAGTTTGGAGTCAAGTGTGAGGGTGGATGAGGCCATACAGAGGACCCTTACAAAGTAGTTAATCTCACACAAGATTGTTCTAAGGACTTTGTTTAAGGTGGAACCAATTTCATGACACAGGAAAAGAGAAACTCAGTAGGCTTAGGGCTAGGATGCTCAGATGCTCCAGAATAGCACTATTCCAGGCCTTGGGGTCTTACTATATTATACCAACTGTCCTTCCAAAAGACATGTTAAGGCTTGGAGTCCAAGCACCGGTGCAGTGTGGCAAAGCACAGCCTCAGACTCATTCTGGCTTTTAGTTGCACAAGCCTTGCTAGAGATAAGCAACTCATTTTTGCCCCTCCGAGTAGCCATAGAAACTCAGGGCTCTGACTACATTGGGTTGAAGATGTAAAAGGCCAGCCTTTCATTTCTGCCCTCTAAGCTTACCAGTGAAGTTATAAACCACCGGTCTATTCTACAGTCTTTGCACTTCCCAAGCCCCTGATACTATTCCGTCAGTGCTGCTGCTGTGGCTCTGGAAGCCTTCATTCCAAACTCTGCACTTCAGGTAGCACCAGACGGCATTTAAGAAACAGCTTTGCCACTATATATTTTAGGCTGGTGCTGTTACAGCCTTTATTCATAAGCTGGATTCCTCTGCCATCAGACTTCGCAGCCTACTAGTCCTGCATCCAACTTTCCTCGGAGATCTGCTTCCTCTACTGTTTGCTGTTGTGCAGCAGTTTCTGCTGAAGACAACAGAATCCACGTGGCCAAGTTTAAGTGGGAAAGGATTTAAAATAGTACATGTGGTAGGATCCCCAAGATCCTTTCCCACTGCCGTGCCTACCTTGTCTGGCCACTCTCTTTAAGAGTGGGCAGAAACTTTGAATAGGACAGGATATCATGGGATTATGCTACATCATATGGAAAAAAGCAATTGTAACCATAATCATGATCCCTGATATGTCGGCAGTGATTATTAAAAAGCGAAGCTATTCTAGGTGAATGTGGTCTAATTAGGTTGTACCTTAAAATATGCAAGAAGCCATAGTGGGTCTTTCCTCTGGTCTTAAAGAAGCAACCAGACTTGTTGTAGAGAAGGCCATGTGTTAAGGACTCAAATGCACTCTCTAGGAGTGGGAAGTAGAATGGGTTGGTAGTTAAAGTAGAGAGACCAGCACTGGGGAATCAGCTCAGAGGTAGAGTTCTTGCTTCACGTGGACAAGACGCTGAGGTCAATCCCCAGTACCACAAAAATCCACAAGGATACAGAGACTTCAGCCACATGGTCACAAGGAAGCTAATTCTGCTGACAAGCTGGGGGGACTTTGTCAGTGGGCCATTCCCAACCAAGCTTCTTGGTGAAGAAAGAGCTGATGTCATCCAAATTTCAATGAAGCCTGATCTAGGGACTGGCTAAGATGGGCTAGACTTTGGTCCATGGAGAATTTGAGATAATAAATATATGGTGTTTAGAGCACAAAATCCATGAGATATTTTATACAATAGAAAAAGAATGTTGTATATCGGCAACCGCCTAGAACTTCTAGAAGAAACGAGCTTGTAAGTCATAAAACTAGAACTGATATCGGCGAAAGATAGGTCCAACCATGAGGTCATTTGTTGTAGACAACACTGGGCTGCTGCTTCCTCTTGGCGCCAAGCGTTGATGAAGCCAAGGCCTCAGCACCGTGACTGAAGGTCGCTGTCTACTTCTGCAACACTCAGATAATGCTGTTTCAGTGTTGTTTTCTTATCTGTGATAGAGGAATGACATTAGTATTTACCCCAGAAGGTAATTATAAGGATTAAGTGAAATTAATCTTCTAAGGTGTTTAAACAATGCACAACTCTTGCTGTTCCATGTGTCTTAGCCATTATTTTAAATAGATGACTAACCCAAAGCCATGAAAATTGCAAGTGGTTTAATGGAGACTAGATTTGGCTCTGTCTACTCCCCAAGCCCCTCGTTCTTATTTTCATACCCCCTCAGTTTGTAGCAGGAAGAGCAATCACAGGAATGCAGTTTCAAAGAAACTTTGCCTGTTTTCATTTTTGGTTTCTCCCAGGAGAAGCCCATCTGGAAGGGACAGAAGACATCTTACACAACGGAGCATGAGAACCATCTGATTTGATGTTTACCGAGTAAATAAGAGCGTCGTTAGCACCTTTATTAACAAGTGCAGAACTCGGGAGCTCTGGAGACAGTTGGGTGAGACCCTCACTACGGAGGCTCACAAAGATGTCTGGAAATGCCTCAGATCAGCCTTCTGGCTTTCTCAGTATTCTCACTGTGATTTCTGCCTCTTCTGCCATACACCTTGTTTGAAATATCCATCTATTTTTCTCCTCTACTAATTGAGATTCTCTGCCTGTCACTGCGAGGAAAGGGTGTGAACGTTTGGAACTGCTGCCTTCACTGTCTAGGGAAGGCGTGCGTGTCTGTGTGTGGGCATGTGCATGTGTATGGTATGTACGGAGGTGGAGAATAAGGCAGATGGTTTGGTGACGACGCTTTAGACCTTCACTACTGATGCAAAGAAGAAGAATTCTGACCAATGAGGAGGCAGAGTGAAGGTGTTAGTGATGCACTATGCAAACCTGTGGGTAAGATGACTTACTGCTACCCAGAAGGAATGCACTTAGCTGTGCACAGAAATATGATCATTATAAAACCAGAATATTTTAAGCCAATATGCTAATTAAAAGTTGAAAAAAAAAGGGTGGAAATTATTGAGCTTGGTGTTTTCATGGAGAACCCTGTGGCCAATTGTCATAGAGAGGTGTTTGAAGCCACTCAAGATTTGAGCAGCACATAGGTCAACATACAACCTAGACATTAGTCAGAGCCCCTAATTAAGAGAACTTGCCCTAGCTAATTTAAACAAAATTGGCCTTACTGGAAGGATATTGGTATACTTACCAAGTGGCTTAGTTGGGGTTTCTATTGCTGTGATAAAACACTGTGACCAAAAACAACTTGGGGAGGGAAGAGTTTATTTTGCTTATGATTCCACATCTTGTCACTGTTCATTGAAGGAAGTCAGGGAAGAAGCTCAGACAGGGCAGGAACCTGGAGGTAGGAACTGGAGGATGAAGAAGCCAAGGAGGGGTGCTGCTTAGTGGCTTGTTCCTCATGGCTTGCTCAGCCTGCTTCCTTATAGAACCCAGGATGACTAGCTGTGGAGTGACCCCACCTATGATGGGCTGAGCCCTCCCTCATCAATCACTAATTAAGAAAATGTCCAACAGGCTTGCCTACAGCCCGGTCTTGTGGAGGCATTTCCTCAATCGGGGTTCGCTCCTCTCGGATGACTCCAGCTTGTGTCATGTTGACATAAAAACTAGCCAGCATCCCAAGTAAATGACAAAAATCTGGAGATTGAGGTTTCTAATGGTGAGATGTATGGATTGCTGGCTAGACTGTGGTTCAGTTTGTTTGATAAAAATATTTCAAGGAGCGTTTAGGAGGTGGTTCCATGGGCAGCAATGCTGGCTGCCCAAGCCTGAGGACCTGAGCTCCAACACTGTGTAATGAGCCAGGCATGCCATGCACCTGCAACCCCAGCTCTGAAGAGGGCAGAGGCAGGAGGATCACTGGAGCTTCCTGGCTGTCAGTCTAGCTCCAGGGCCAGTGAGAGACCCTTTCTCAAGGAAATAATGTCGAGAGTGATAGAACCGACACCCAATGCTCTCCTCTGCCTCCCCCACCCTCCGCCACAATTTCAGTTGATTTCTGGCCCCAGGTTATAGGAGAGCACTTCATATCAAGCTAACTCTCCCACAGACAGTATTTTTTAAATCTTGGGGGGAAGATGCTGAACATATTTAAAAAGCACAGCAGAATGACCCAAATCAGATATGAAATGATGGTAACACCTTAGGTGAGGTTCATGTTTATTTTTCTTTTCACTGAAGACATTTTCAATTTTGTCACTGTAGATGATGTGTGATAGAGTTCACTGGAATGTGGATTCCCTGATGGACAGAGGTTGGAGTGCAGGTCTGCTAGTAGCTGAAGTGGAGGGGAAGTGAATATACAGAAAAAGAGTCATTCTAGAGGGAACCCCGAATCTGTACACAAACTCTCTCAAATCCTCAACAATTCCAGAATTGTGAAGACAGAGGCAATCAGAAGGGAGTCCTAAGGATCCTGTTAAGTGTATGTCAAATAACTCCCAGTGTCATGATACACAATTTAGAGATCAGAGTCTGGTAAGATAAGGTGAAAGCTCTCTGATAATGTGTGGGAAGAGCCAAAGTCTGGGCATAAAGACTGTTGATAGAGGCTAATGACTATTCTATAAGGTAAGGGGAAAACAGAAAGGATTTACTCAACCATGCTTAAAGGCTCCGTGTGACCAAGGCTATCTTCTATACTTTAACTGCTTGTAAGAACAAAACTCAATGTCCTCGGAGGGAAGATAACAGCATCAGTCTCCCAAGGGTCTCATTCACAATACCCAAGACATAATTAAAATATTATTATGATGATAAGAAGAGAGGAAAATGAGAAAAATCAGCCAATAGAAAGACTCTACAATGGTCCAGAACCCAATTATAAAAAACAAATACCTTAAAATAATTGTAAAGAATATATTTAAAAAATGTACAGGAAAAGATGAATCACATGAAGGGAGAGAATAAGTCAGGTTAATAGAAATGATCTGATCAGATTTACACACACACACACACACACACACACAGGGAGAGGAAGAGAGGAGATATTTTAAAAATAAAATAGCAAAAACAATTAAGAGGAATATTAAGGCATTCAGAATATTCATAAAAGGAGTTACAGAAAAAAAGGAATAAGGCATCAATCAGGTAGGGTAAATATTTGAACAAACATTGGCCAAAATTATTCAAATTTTATCAAAATTAGCAATTTGCTTATCTAAAAGTCAAGTTAATGTCCAAGAAGATAAATACAAAGAAAATGATATGTGATCAAGCTAATGTGAGAAATTCATAGCAAGGAAAGTTTCAAAAGTATCCAAATTAAAAAAAAATTAACAAAAAAGCTGGGTGGTGGTGGTGCACATCTTTAATCCCAGCACTTGAGAGGCAGAGGCAGGTGGATCTCTGTGAGTTCGAGGCCAGCTTGGTCTACAGAGCAAGTTCCGGGACAGCCAAGAGTACACAGAGAAACCTTGTCTCAAAAAAACAAAAATAAAATAAAATATAAAGAGGCATACAAAGGAATAATGATAAAGTTAACAGCTGATTTGTTAAGAATGTTCTAGAAGAGACTGGGCTGACATTTAAAATAAAGATGCTAGACAGATTAAGGCTGGGAGACCTCAAATATGTACAATGCTAAAGGACATTCTTGAGGTTCAAGGGCACTGATGCCAGGTGGAAACTCAGGCCTAGAGGGCATAATGAAAGTACTGGAGATGCTGAAAATACGGGAAATATAAAGTTATGATATTAAAATCTCTAAAAGACAATCCTCTTCAGTGAATATACTAGCAATAAGTATTTAGAAGAAAATACATAGGCAGGAATGAATAGATACAAAAAACATATATTCAAAGTAGATTGTGATAATTTTAGGGTGAATGTCATCATCAGAAAGCTGCCAAAAGTAATGCAAAGGGCGATGGCTTAGGTGTCAGTGGGGGTGACCAAATGAAATTTATCTTTTTAACATTGACTAGTTCAAAGGACAGTAGGAGAAGGGAAAAAAAGAGAAAGAAAAAGTGGATAGGCAACTGAGAATAGCAGGATGATGAAATACAAATTCATTACATCAGTGGAGTTTTTCCTTCCTTCCTTCCTTCCTCCCTCCCTCCCTCCCTCCTTTCTTTCTTTCTTTCTTTCTTTTTTTCTTTCTCTCTTTTTTTTTTGAGACAGGGTTTCTTTGTATAGCCCTGGCTATCCTAGAACTTGCTCTGTAGACCAGGCTGGTCTCAAACTCAGGGATCTGCCTGTCTCTGCCTTCTGAGTGCTGACATTAAAGGCATGCACCACCACTTGTGGCACCCATTAGTGGATTTCATAAATGTCCATGGAATAAACAGTCCAGTGGAAAGACATCAATCTCCAGGGCAAAAAGGAAGACAACCAAACTATATTCTATCTGCAATAAATCCACTTTAAATCTGAAAACATTTGTGGGTTGAAGGTAAAGGATTGAAACTAAACAAATTATAAAGACTTGGTGTTAGAAGACTGATAGGGATGTTAGCACAAGAAAAGTTAAGGACTACTTCAGAGATAAAAAGGTCATTTTTATAATAATGAAAAGGCCAATTCATCAAGAATATAAAATATAACAACCCCAAGTGCAGGTGCACCTAATAATGAGCTGACGTACACAAAACAAAAATTGATGGAATTGGAGGAAGGAGAAGAAAAGGCTCTAGCTTTCATTGCAGACAGTAACATCAGCTCCCTCTAATTCATAGAACCAGTACGGAATACACCAGCATGAGAAAATCTGCTCCGTGTCCTCGAATGTGTACTTGGCCACGAAATCCATCTTGATGAACTTGAAAAGACTGGAATTACAGAGACGGTTCTCAGAGCACAGTGAAATTAAATTAGAAATCAATAGCAGCAAGATTCTTGGAAAATCCCCAAATTTTTAGAATTGAAACTCTGTACCTCTAAATTACTCATAGGTCATGGAAGACATCATAAGGGAAATTAAAAAGTACTTTGATCTAAACCAAAGTGACAACATAGCATGTAAGAATTTGTGGGCTGAAGGTGAACCATTATGATCTGGACTGCTCAGTCACAAAAGGCTGAACACCAGTAACTTCTACCATCAGGATCCCCTCCTCCAAAGGTAAACTTAACCTAAAGTTAGCGGTGCAGAGGAAATAGTAACATCAAGAGAAATCAACGAAACAGGAAATACAAAATAGAGACAACAAAGAGCATCAGTGAACTTGAGGAAGACAGATGAATAGGAATTCTAGAGTTAAGTAGAGAGATGATTGAATATAAGGAAAGAGTGAGTATCAGGACATTTGTGAGAACGTCCAACAGCCCCAAACCTAGAGAACTCAAGTCCCAGGAGAAAGGAGAAGAAAGATAGTGTTTCAAATATGATAGCTGAAAATTCTCATCTTGTGAGGATAGAAATGCACAAATTTTAGAAGATTGGTAAACAGACCCCGAGGACACACACACACACACACACACACACACACACACACACACACACACACACACACACTGTAGGCTCTTCATAGTTGAACACTTGAAAAACCAAAGATAAAAAAGAGGACATCCTGACAGCAGCTATAAAAAAATGTTAAATTCCCACCATGGTGACAGTGATTCAAACTCCCAATGACTTCTCCTCAGTTACCATGGAGGCCAGAAGACAGAGGGAAACATCTGTGGTGGGCTCACTGAGACACTTAATCCAGAACTTCACACTCAGTGAACACACCCTTTAAGCATGAAGGCAAAAGACATTTTCACATATGAGAACAGAGGAGTCATTACCAGTAAACTGGCACTGTATGGGAGCTCTAGGCACTTCCCAAGGCTGAAGGGAATTGACACTCTGCTGGAAAAATTGAATTGTTAAGAAGGATGAAAAGCACCACAAACAATAAACATCTGTGTAAATACAGAAGCTGTCAGAAGCCAGGTTCGGGTAGCTTCGTCAATGATCTCTAACAAGTAGTTAAGAAACAAATGTAACAAATTTGTTCTTTAAAAATTTTATTAACACATTAATTATACATGATAAAAGGCTTCATTAGAATAGTTCATATGCATATATAATGTATTTTGGTCATATTTACCCCCTACCCTCTCTTCTCTTCCACTCCCATTGATCTCCTTTCTTTCCCTGTAGTCCCCCTTCCGTGGTCATTTGGTGACCCAATGAATTCAATATGGTTCCTTTCAGGAGCATGAACATCCTACTGTGGCTACACTGCTGGAGAAATGTCTCTCCATCTCTATTAACTGTTTACGGCACGTAAATGCTCAGGAAGGAGCACGGGCATGACAGAGTGGAGGTGGACCCAGTCTTGTGCAAGTGATCACAACTGCTAGGAGTTCAAGCGTGCATCAGCCATATTATGCCCAGAACTCAGCATCCATACCTTCCTTCCTCTGGCTTTTCCATTCTTTCTTCCCTTTTGCCACCATGTTTCCTGAGCCTAGGAGTGGGTGGCAGTGATTCCATTTATGGTCAAGCATTCAACAGTCATTTATTCTCATTATGTTGACCAATTATGAGTCTCTGCCATTACAGCTACCTACCTCAAAAAGAAACCTCTCCGACCAAACCAAAGTCACAACATTACTGATCTATAGGCATAGGCATAATGAGTTAGAAGGCAATTTGATGGGCATATTATTTCCATTTAGCAAAACAAATAGCTTGACCATAGGGCCTCTGAACTCCCCAGCCACAGGCTTTTGATAGACTTTGGAGTCCCAGACATGAATTCCCTCTTGCGGAACACTCCAATTGAATCAGAAAGTAGTTGTTTACCACATAACAGATTTGCAGCAGTGAACACTGGTGGTTGGTAGTATGATACATAGGGTCTTTACCTGAGCAAGACTTGATGACAGTTTTCTAAAATGTGACAAATTTTTTTCAGATAGGAGAGGAAGAAGGAACTCTTACAAATTTATTCATAAACAACAAGAACAAAGATATTAAAAGAAATTACCCATATCCCCCAAGAATAGAGTACAATAATAAAACATATCAAATCCTGATCAAAATAGTAGCAAATAAAGTCTACTGGTTTATAAAGAATATCAAAGCCAAAAGAGGATTATTTCAAGAATTTAGGATTACCTTGAAAATCCTTCAATTAAATTCATGACATGAATAGAAAAATGGAGGAAAAAAACTCCTGTGAACAACCCGGTGGCTTCATAAAAATGGCTGTCAACAGTGAGCAGTTGATGTCACCCACAAGAGTGAAAAATTAAGGACCTTCATATACTGTCCAGGTTCTGTTAGCTCACAGTCTCAGAGACCTTTGATTAAAAAAAAAAGGTCAGTAGGGGTTCCATTAACTAGAAGCTGCAACTATAACCTGGGATCTTTGACGTCCTGATGCAAGTGAAGCCAGCAGGAAGAGAAAGTAATTACTGTGTAGGCCTTGATTGACTCTGAATACCACAAGGACCCAGGTTTTATCACCATCCTGGGGACAGTGAATAGTATGCTAGGAATCTAAAGGATGCCCCAGAGCTGCGTTGTAGTGTTCCTGTGTCAGTAGATAACACCTATAGTGCAAGACATCCAGGGAACCAAGAGCTTAGACTCTTGCAGATGAAGGTCTAGGTCTAACTACCAGAAAATCAACACACACCAGTCATGATGGATGCTGTGTGAGGGTGATGGTGAATGCCCTGGCTAGGAGCAGTAGTACTGATGAAGGAAGCTTCCTTTGCTAACCTTTCTAAAAGTCTTTGCAGGAGAATGAAACTTAGCATTCTGTGAATAGTTGGATCGTGTCTTCATCCTTGGTGGTGGTGGTGGTGGGTTTGCATCTGTTCTGTTCCAATATGAGATACATATATTACAGATGAGCATGCAGAGACATAGCTTATGCTGGACCCAGACTGTGTGTCAGCCCAGTCTATGTGACTGTATCTTCCTCTCCCTGAGCCTTTGCCACATGCCTTGCTCTCCAGTTGAGCAGCCTTAGCAAGAGCTCCCACTGTTGTTCCCACAGCAGTAAATCCAGATTGCTGTTGCTGCTGTCGGCACCAGTACAGATGGAAGATTCTAGCAGGTAGTGTGTATAACCCAGGGAGACTGGATGCTATGCCATCCAATGCCTTAGACACCTAGATTCTGTAGTATTTTTAGAAGTTGCATGGTGAGGCCAGGTTACACATCTCAGAAAGGCAACCGGGCAGATGTAGAGACAGAGTTGGCTTTGACAGTGGGACATGGAGGTCAGGAAAGACCCGGCACTAAATCCTTCCCATTCCTCCCTCTACTTGAATTACTGAAAAGAAAGTCTAAAGATGATCTGTAAGACTGAACCATTGGTTGCATTTGTTACAAAGCACACCCTCTCTGTTAAACACTTCCTTCTTTTTTGTTCTTCTTTCTCTGCCTCGGTCTCCCTTCTCCTGAGATTGTGTTCCTCAGAGAAAAGTTAGCAGCTGGCTTCTCCCCCAGACAAGTTGTCTTCTTCAGGGAGGTTTGGTAAAGGCATGCTTGCTGGCATGGAGGATGCTGATGTGGTTGTGATGAGGCTGGTGAATGTGGTGGTGGTAACGGGGACTGATGGTATGATGAGTGATAATGGTATGGATGGTGTTGGTGATGTCATATAAATGAACAGTCGTGAGAGGCGCTGTGGCATTTCAGTCAACAATGGGCCACATATTATGGTGGTTACATAACATGGTTACACAACAATGGCATAATGGAGCCAAAGAATTTCTATCACTTAATGACATTGTAGCCATCTCAATGCCATAGAGTGGACCTGAGGTGATGGTTGTGGTGATATTGTGTCCCCCAAAATATTGTGCACCCTAATAAGCTTGTCTGGGGTCAAAGAACAGAACAGTCACTAGATAATAGAGGCCAGAAAATGGTGACGCACACGCCTTTAATCCTATCACTTGGGAGGCAGAGATCCATTTGGATCTCTGTGAGTTTAAAGCCACACTGGAAACAGCCAGGCGTGGTGACACACACTTTTAATTCCAGGAAGTGAGCCTTTAATCCCAGGGAGTGATGACAGAAAGCAGAAAGGTATATAAGGCATGAAAACCAGGAACTAGAGCCTGGTTAAGCTTTTAGGCTTTTGAGCAGCAGTTCAGCTGAGATCCATTTGGATGAGGACTCAGAGGCTTCCAGTCTGAGGAAACAGGATCAGCTGAGGAATTGGTGAGGTGAGGAAGCTGTGGCTTGTTCTGCTTTGCTGATCTTCCAGTGTTCACCCCAATAACTGGCATCAGGTTTATTTTTATTAATAAAACCTTTTAAAATTCCTGCTACATCTGGCGTCCAACGTTTGTGGTACAAATTTATGAAAATTGCCTGTAGCCTTGCCAACCCCAGCTGAGACCTGGGCTACATGTTGCCTGTTGTGGTGGCACACGCTGGTAGAATTTACTGAAGGAGGCAGAGGCAGGAGGAACCCGAGTTTGAGGCCGGCCTAGGAGGCTAAGGAGAAGCTTCGGCCCGGCCACAAACAGTGGCAGTGGGACCATGGAGGCAGTGGCTGCTGCTCCTTCTCATCGTGTTGGTGACTGCGGTGATGATGCTACTTGGGACAAAGGGTTTACTACTGCTTGTTTAGAGAAAAATTGCCAGGACTATTGTGTTACAAGAAACCATCAGCAAAGGTCAGTTTGGAAAAGTTTGGCAAGACAAATGATGGGAAAAAATTGCTGTGAAGATTTTCTCTTCTAGGGAAGAACGTTCATGGTTTCGAGAGACAGACATTTATCAGACTGTGATTGCTCCAAAAA